CCTTCTATTGGTATCAAAAAGCAGCAGAAAATAGTAATGAAGTTGCTATGAATAGTTTAGCCATATGTTATTATAATGGAGAAGGAACAGAAAAGAATTTAGAAAAAGCATTTCATTGGTATCAAAAAGCAGCAGAAAATGGTAATACTTATGCAATGTTTAATTTAGCTATATGTTATACAAATGGAATAGGAATAGAAAAGAATTTAGAAAAAGCTTTCTATTGGTATAAAAAAGCAGCAGAAAATGGAGATAAAGAAGCACAATTTAATTTATGGGTTTGTTATAAAGAAGGAATTGGTGTTAAAAAAGATGAAGTTAAAGCCTCTTATTGGTATCAAAAAGCGGTTCAACAAAGATTTAGCAATGCACAATATAGACCTGGATTCTTTTATAAGATTGGTAAAGGGGTGAAAGAAGTTTTAAAAAGCCCGTTTAAAAGAGTAGAAAAAGGAAGTTTAGGCGCAAATAAATGGATTGAAAATGCTTTAAAATATGAAAAAGTTAAACTTATATCTTATAAAGAATTAAAAAATGTGGAACCACTTGATGCAGGAAGGTTTGGAATAATATCTAAAGCAATTTGGACTAAAACTAATAATTATGTTGTTTGTAAAAAATTAACTAACACAACTTATATTAAGAATGATTTGTTAGATGCATTTACTCATGAACTAAAAATGCATATGCAACTTGATTATAGTGAAAGAATTATACGTTGCTTTGGTATTAGTTTAGGTAATTTGAAACTTTTTTTTTTTTTACATTACATTTTTTGTTATTTTTTTAATTTCTTATAAATTATTTTTAGATCCAAAAACAAATGAATATCTTCTTATTATGCAGTATGCTAATGATGGGGATCTTCAAAATTATCTCAAAAATAATTTTAATAATTTGACATGGAATGATAAGAAAAAATTAGCATTTCAAATTGCAGATGGATTAAATTATTTGCATCATGTAAATATTTTACATAGAGATCTTGTAAGTATTAGTATTTATTATTTAATATCATATTAGTACTAGCAGCAATAATTTATTTATGTAATTTATTTTTTTTTTTAGCATTCTAAGAATATAGTTATTCATGAAAATAATGCTAAAATCACAGATTTTGGTATTTCAAAAAATCAAAATAATCAAACTTCAGCTTATATTGGTAATTTTGGTATTATTTCTTATATGGGACCAGAACATCTTAAAAATCCAGAATCCCCATATACTAAATCTTCAGACATCTATAGCTTTGGTGTATTAATGTGGGAAATTTCTAGTGGTCATCCTCCATTTAAACATATTGATGATAAAATGGCACTTGCTGCTTCTATTGTTAATAATAATACTCGTGAAAAGTTAGTTCCCAATACTCCTGAAAAATATGAGAAACTTTATACAAAATGTTGGAGTCAAGAACCTAGATTAAGACCAACTATTAATGAAATATTGGATGAATTTGAAAGAATGGATGGTAATTTAATTTCTGAATCGCATACTAGTACCGAACCTTCGGAATATCATAAATTCTCTTCAAATTTGATTGGTAAGTTTATAATTCTTTACTTACTAAAATATGATATTGAATTAAAGATATTTTATACTTTATTATATTTAGTTGACTGGAACAAGATTTGAACAATCATAAGTTATATGGAAAAATTTGCAGAGGTAGGTATAACAAATTTATATACTTATAAATACCAGTTATAGAACTTATTTAGTTTTTTTTTAAAAAAAAATTTGTAATGCATTTCTTTATTAAGTTATAAAACTTATTTAATTAATTTATATTAATGATTATAATATACTGCGTATTAATAAAATATGTTAGTTTGTATTATTACTCATATAAGTCAATGATATTACAGTATCTGATCTCATAATCTCATAATGATTATTTTTTTTAACATGTAAATTATTATTATTAATTCTATTTAATAAAAAAACATACTATAACATATCAAATTTTTGGAGAAACACGTGCCAAACAACTTGATATTTTGTTGCCGGTCCGGAATGTGTGACAGGTAACGCCGAATATATTAGCTTTAGAGTTTTTCCGGATAGGTTTTCCGAGTTACACGTGTTAAGTATTTTAAGAAAATGGCTGAAATTTTATTTATTGCTATGATATTATTTATTTTATTTATTGTAATTTTGTTAAAGTTTTTCGATGTTTTTGGCATTGTTCAACAGTTTTCTAGTGCTTTAATATCTATTTAATTTGTTGTTTGTTATTTTGTTTGATCAGAAATTTCTCTCCTCTTCCTCAAGTGTTTATAATAAGAAACTTTTTCTATAGTAACACGTATTTCAAATTATTTCATGATTACATTGTTTCATATTATTACCAATATTACCAATGAAATGCGAAGTAAAGGAGGCGTAGACAAGGGTATTTTTGCCATAAAATTGTCGTTTTATTAACGATTTTGCCACGTTTTTTAATTATTCACCTTTTTCAACAATCTGAAATTTTGCAAACATTTTTTAACCATAGATGTCGTTTTGGTTTGTTATATGATTCTTTTAACAATTCTTTAGCCTAAAAAAATTATTTTGACATTAGTAAAGATTAAAAATGCATCTGTATATGAAATTTATACATAGTATTAACATGCCTTGGTCGTGGATGTAACATTTTATGAGAATATTTTTAAACTTTGATTAAGTCCAGTTTTGATAAGATTTCTATATTTATTGTTCCTTCACAATGGTACCGTTATAAATAGGTAGATGTGTCTCTTTGTTTATCTAATATAGGATGCTTTACTTGCCGTTTTCCAAGTTCAATTCGACAATTGCAATAATATAATATATGAAGAGAGTCTTTTCTTTGATTTTTATTCCGATAAACCCATGAATAGCCATCACCTTCCGAAGTAAGTATTATTACAGAAAGATATTGATGAAAAGGTAAAAAGGTAAAAATTGATTTATAATCAATTAATGTAACCGGAAATCAGTTTCCGAATCACGTGTAGCCAGCAAACCTATCCGTCTACCATTTTTTCTAGGTGACGCTAGGTAAGTTTTTTTAGCGTCACATAATCACGTGCAAGCCCGTGGTTCAAAAACACTATTTATCTGAGGGACTTAGTTTTTTTTTTAGTGGTCCCAAACTTATTTGTCACCAGTTATTTGTCACCGATTTCGGCGTAACCTGTCACACATTTCGGACGTGCTATTATGACGTAAGAGACATGAGGTATAGTGTAACAATACAAAATTTCTTCGGATCCATTAAAATGTTTTTTTTCAGAAATAATTAAATAGAAAGTTCAAATCTACAGTATTTCTTTTCATTTTTTTCAATATTAAAAAATAAAATTTTTTTTTTATTTGTTTATTTTTTTTTCAGTTCATACCGTTAAGTAATATTATGAATTTACGAAATTTTGCAGTGCTCTTGTGAATTAAAATTGACTTACAGAAACATGATTAAGCTATTTCCCTAAAAATGATAATACTGGAAAAATTGGTTAGACGCAAGATTTGGTTACAAGAAAGTTTTTTGTACACATTTTTGACTGTTCACTAATAAATTTGTAGACTTAAATAAAAATTTTGTGACTAGTGCAAAATAATGATCATTCATATTTTAATTATAACTTTATAATGCGTTAGATTTTGATATATCAATTTATTCATATTTCTATAGTCCTTTTCTATACAACTGTTTTATTTGTTCTATTTTTTAATTTCATACATTTCACAATATCTAACTAATTAAATGACATTACATTCCCTTGCGATTAATTTAATTTCTTCTACATCATCAATATTCACAGAAATTTCAACCAATTTAGGTATTAGAAATCTAGAGGAAACATATAATAAATCAATCCAATCATTAATAAGTAACACTTTAAATAATCTGATTTTGACATAAGAATTTTATAATCAGGTAAAAAATTTTTTTCTAAAATATTTTATAATTATTTGTTGTTAATTCTAATCTAATAATGAAATCTCGTATTTTTATCATTTAATCAATTTTTTTCATTTATAGTAAATTTTTTTTAAATTCATCACATATTATAGTTAATTTTACTTCAATATCCATCATCATTTAAATGTAATAATGATTTTTTATTTTTATTTACATCTTGTTTTTTCCGCCAATCATCTTTACTTTTAAGATGAATCCATATTCATCTTTAACAATTTTTCTTGTAGGTAATAATTTAATTAACCATTGAATTTTTGATCTATTAGAAGAATAATGAAATTTCAATTTAAGTTTTAAAGAATTAATATGAAAATTTCCGGGTCTGTAATATTTATTATTTATTTAATTTATGTAAAAGCAGGAGAGTAGCCAGGTCTGTAATCAAATTTCCATGTAATATGAGCAGATTGATTTTTCTTATCAGTGCTAAGGTATCATGTTATAAGGAATATGGTTTTATCGATATTGTATAAAAATAAAGATACATTGTTATAATAGAATAACTTTATATAAAAAATATATAGTATATTGTTTTCACTTACTTTTCTATATTCATTGAATTTTCAAGAGAATAATAGATATTTTTAGTTTATATTTGTAAAAGTTACACGATTCTATCTTTTCAAGTATTTCTATCACTTTTATATTAAGCATTTGTAATGACATTATATGAAATTCTATGAATATAAATATATTTATATTTATCATTAAATAATCCAATCACATCTTTCAGATTTTATTGTATCTTAAATTATTAAAATTATATAAAATAATGATAATGATAATAATGATGATAATTCAACTACCGTATAACATTAGGAAAATAATTGTAAATTTCTTGCCTTATTATAAAAAATTTTATTATTTTTTATTATAAAATGAATTAAATTTTTTGGTAGATTGGTCCTTTCATTTGTATTCTTAATACAAGTTTCTTTGATTACTATTCCATTTAAGATTTTTTAAGTAATGATGATAACCAGTATTATTAATTTATTTTTATTTTTATTTTTATTAATGGGTTCCAGTTAGAAACCTAACATGGACGTGATTATAAGTAGAAAATTACATATAAGTCAAAATTGACAAAAATACTAACTAAACTACACGCGAAAATAATCTACTCAAACCGGTGGGCAATTAACAGGAAGAAGGTATAATGTGAGATACTAAAATTAGACCCCACGACACAAAAACCCAGATAACGCCACTGCCTCCCATACTCTCGCCTAGGTAAACCTAAGTTTTGGTAAGTTGAAGCCCGTACCCCGCAGATTATCAAACTGAACCGCCAGCCCCTGGTTGGAAAAATCCCCCCACAC